GTGCTTCTCGACGATCTGTACTTTGCTCTTGCTGCTTTAGCTTATGCTTCTGCTTCTACTTCTGCTTCTGCTTCTGTTACTGCTACTACTACTGCTACTGCTAGTGCAAATGCTGTTGTCTTGGTTTTCGAGTACCGCAACGCAAGCTTCTCTCGAGTAGTTTTCTCTTGCAATAGTCTTCTTGCACACGTATCGCAAATCGTACCTACCGTAATACCCCTTCGTATAATAAAATGGAAAATTCTTTATGAAATTTAAATGAAATTTTCCCATTTTCACACGTATAAGAAATTCAAATGATTTCGGAATTAATAATTCCGCAATCTTTACATTAGAAAATGTTATTATACAATTCTCTTTGATTATTACCTCTTCTATATTAACTTTACTCATTTACTAATCTTAATCAAGACGATTCGAAAATATATTCCGTTCACGTACCACGATCAATCTTTTCTTCCATCAACAGACATTGAAAATATTGAAATTTTAGATTTAGAAACCTATTACCTCGTATTCTTATATACCATTTGTGATAATATGTATGATTATAAAAAGTGATTTGAAATGATATATATTAAAATATATTTTGTTAGATTAAATAAAAGAGCAAATGAACTTAATTTTTGTAAATAATTCTAATTCAAATATCCAAATATACATCTAAACAAAAAATATAATATACAATTTATATTATATTACTTTTTTTTATTAAACATCAGTTAAAATATATGATTCAACATTTCGATTAACTGTAAAACTAAGTTTAACGTAGCCAGAAATAAAGTGAACTAATTTATCAGCCTTATCCGAATTTCAACAGGTGAAGAAGATCCTGGAGCACGATCGAGAATTTGTTGAAGGAAATTTGTCACTTCTGGAGTTGGAGGAAAAGGTGGCAGGTGGTCTCGAAAGAGAAGAAGATTCGAAGGGTGATTAGGACGAAGGGAAAGAAGAAGAAGAAGAAGAAGAAGAGAAATACAACGACGAGTAAAAAGTGTCACCACGCGTCACGCAGGGGTCGTGGGTCTATGGGGGGCACCGCCCCAGCGGCCCCCCAATTCAAATCCAAACAGAAACTGTTATTCCGAAATTCGTGCTATTCTGACACGGGCCAGAATCGACGCCTCAATTTCGGGCCAACCGTTCAAACGGATGAAGAGAAGTCCATCCAATATCATGAGGCAGTCAAGCCTCACGAAACTTGGTTCTATGATCAACACCGCCGTCAACAAAAGAGCTGGTGAGTTAATCGTTTTTTTCGTTTCTTTTTATTTTCGTTTAGCTAGTAAAGTTAGTTGAAATAACATAGAAAAGAAAAAATAATGCCAATAAATTGAAGATCGAGCAAAGTAAGTATAAACCTTTACGATCAGACAACGTCTCGTAGATATTTCAACTAACGCATTCTCGTTTTCCAACATATTTCTCGGTAACACGAGTAACAACGCGTACTGTAATACAAAGATTTAGTAAGACAGGGAAAATATATCACCAAAAAGCTTGCAATATATTATTCGTTTTAAATAGAAATTTATGCGTTAAACTTCGTGACAATATATATATATGCATATATTATGATATTTTTTTGTTTAAATACTTAACAAACGTAAAGATATTTTTATTTTCAATGATATTTAAGTTAAAACGTGACCGATGTAATAGATTTTCCTATTATTAATAATTTACTTTGTAAAAATTTAATTCATGTCTTGAAGTTATAGTAAAACATGTTGAATGTTTTCTGTGGAAACAAATAAAAAAAGAAAAGAAATTTTTCGTATGATTGTCGATAGTTTACATTGTTTACTTGCTAAAGGTATAGCAGGGTTCTATATTAGATACTGTTCTATATTAGGTACGGTTTCCCTATACGTACACTAAAGAAAATAGTGTCGAGCAGAATTGAAATGTTTATATTAGGCTTTCTGTTCCAAATGAGAAAAATAAAGATAGATAAATGTATATATATATATATATATATAGAGAGAGAGAGAGAGAGAGAGAGAGAGAGAGAGAGAGGGAGAGTAAAGGGAAAGGGAAAGGGTGGGAAGAGTGAGGGAGGAAGACGGAAATTTTTCTTTAACAATGTCACACAAGGAAAACAACGTAACACACGAACACGTATTATGTGTTCTTCTCTCTTACGAATTCTCTAGTGAGAAGTGTTCTCCGTCGTGAATAGAATTCATTTTGATTCGTTTTAGAAAAAGAATATGTATTATTCGCAAGTTCGTAGAAGAAACGTTTTACGTAGCGACTTAAATTGTAACAATAAAACAGACACGAGCGAAACGGAATCCGATGATGATTTATCAGACTGCTGTTCATATAAAAGTTGTGGCCAATTATTAGGTATGTAACTACGTTTTCGTTTCTAAAGGATCACCCATCAAATCCGCAGATCGTCGTGATCGTAATTGTTATGTTTCGTTATCTAATTTCGTATAGAAATTTTCGAATTAATTGTTACGTTAAAGAGATCGATGAATTTCATTTGATTATTTATAGATTATTGTTTATAACTATTAAATACATATATATATTGTGTAAGTTGTAGATTCGCGTGTAGATCCTTGGAAATGATTTATTACGATAAAGAGATGGAAGTAATAAGAAAGAGAAAGAGAGATATGTGTGGTTACAGTGGAAAGAGTGTTATTTCGAATTATAATGATATCAGCAGATTCAAATGAATTGAATTTATAGCATACGCGTCACACACACACAAGAAAGTAATATTTCAATTGTACTTACATTTAATCTTTTCGTGTCCTAATCGTTTTTAAAGAAAACGTAGGGAGAAAGAAAGAGAATGAGAAAGAAAGAGATAAAGCATACAATTTTTAAACAGTCGTTATATCATCTTGACATTGATAACATGACGCACGCGTACGCGCACATTATTTATATAAAATCTTAACAGATATTCAAAGGAATCTCAACCATCAAAGAGAAAAATGAATTAGTAGTGATAATAGGGTAGTGTTGTAGTGTTGGGATAATGTTCGAATGTTTATTTGATCGTATTCATAATTTTTGTTTCGATTTATAACGAAGAGATGCGAAAGTAAATGCAGTATTGGGTGCGCGTGTTTGTTAGGACAAATCAATTAACGAATTGTCTCTAATACATAAGACAATCAGTACCTTCCTTGAGAGCCAACGTTTACGTACCAGTTCGAGACAGTCTCGTGCACATCGTGCTATTCTTTCGGCCATTTTACTCGTGTTTCTTCATAATTTGTATCGTATGTATTTATATATATAAGAACATTAATCTGTGATATTATTTATTTCAACAAAAATTATCAAGAGTGTCAATTGAGAGATTTATTTGAGTAAAAAATTGTCAACGATATAAAACGAGATAGTGTGAGAGAGATCGTAAATTTTTTCTTTCTTTTTTGGTTCATATTGTTCACAAGACGCAATTTAATAGCACAGCTGAGAAATCTTTTGTTGAAGATCGACAATGTCGCGAGGTCTCGATGAATGACTCCGAGTTAAGGATTAGCATAAATCGAGTCGAATAATATTTGACGCAGTTTAAACGATGAAAGTGTTTCGATCTGTCGGTACGGTTAGCTCGTAGAAAATCTTTAGACAAATATTAAATTCGATTCTAGTTAAATTTTACGGTACGTACGATCGGGAGAAATTAAATGTAGTGCATATTCTATACTTGATTGTAAGATAAATATGTCATAACGTAAAAATTTTGTCGAATAAAAATGGATCGACCGACGTATTCGGAAATACGTGCTCCCAAAAATTTATCTAAACTGATGAGGAACAAACCATTATTTTCTTCTATGGAAGAGCTGCATGAGAAACTAACGGAACTCTTAGGTAATGTGTGAATTTGAAAATAAGTCAAAAAGGGGATAAAATAAATAATGTTCATTTCTTTTTCGTTAAATTTGAATTTTATCTTTGGTTTAATTTTAACTAGCTCGCTTCTTTCTTTTATTACGTTGTCGGAAAGCAGAATCGTTGAAGCGCTATACCGATGGAAGATTTACTTTTCGTTAGTATAAATCTTCAGATAATAATGTCGCGAAACGTGTTCGCAACGAAAGAAGAAAGTGAAAGAGTAGAAACGCTTTAATGGCAGTTAATGCCCAGTATGAATTTGTTAGCCTGTAATACATTTAAGCTTATTCGCACAAGCTTGTTTGCTAGTATACTTATATGCTTACTTACGCATTCAAGTAATACGATATTCGAAAAGAATGGAAGATAAACGATTAAATGGTAGGTATTTCAAGCGAAAAGACGCGGAAGGTTTTATTTTCGATGCATCTGATAACGGCCATTGTTAGAGTTGCGTGAAGACGTCATATTATCATAGTAATGTAAAAATTCTTTTCGGAGAAGATATACACAACAGTACAGCATCGTAGTATGCATACAAGACGTATTATATACTACTTTTAATAACTAACAATAAGCTCGATTATGAAAGCTATCTTTTGACGGTAGAATGATACATATTATTCTCTTTTTTTCGTCGTCATGCTGTATATTACATCGTAAAATAATTGACAAGACATCAAAGACATTTAATAATTTTCTTCTTCGTTCGTATTATTTCCCAAATCGATCTTCTAATTTTGTAATAACCTAAATAAAAATAGATAAGATTAGTACATACGCGTAACGAATATTTTATTTTAGTGTCGGTTTAAAATATATCGCCTCATTCTCTGCCGAGTTCTTAGAATCGTATTCATTTGGTTATCTCGATTAGGCAAAGCACGTTTTGTGTATTCCAAGTGTACCCACATAGAATTGAAATGCGTTAATATCCTACTTACTAGGACATGAATTCGTGTTTTATAAACCGATATTGTCTACTCCTTTCATTTCAGATTCGTTTCAATCGATATCATAAAATAATTTAACATGCGTTGTTTTTCATTTTCAAATAATAATAAAAGAAGACATCTCGATAATAAAGATTCATTAGAAATTAGAAAATCACGCGCGAATGTATTCAAGCGAGGGAAAACACGAGTTAAGCTTGTTGGTAAAAAGAACATTCGAAAGTGGCGCGTAAACGATGCCGGAAAGTTCGTCAGAGGTCGGTGATCTTCGGTTGGAGTCGGGGGCGCGAGGCAGCGTCGTTTCTTGTACGCACTAACATGGCGGATCTCGTGAAAGCAACTAAACTTGGTTGCATGGTGTGTTTGTGACGTCACGGCAAGGAGTCGTGTAGCGCGGTTATGCGTTCCTGAATACCTCCGCCATTGAAATCAAATTTTCGAATCGTACGATAGGGCTATTTTGCCTATTTTTTGTATGGTGCATAACGAGCGGCATGGGAAGAACCGCGTTGAATATGTGACGTAGGCGAGGCCCGAAATGTAAAAAGAACCTGTATTAGGAGGAAGAGTGTTGTCTGGTGGTGGCGCGTGTCTTCACTTCAGTGTGAACAAAAATTTAACACAAAGCCCTCGGCGTATCATAAACACACATAATTCTTTCATATTTTTGTTAAACCAACTGCAATAACGACGACGAAGACAAAAACGAAAACGAAGACGACGACGACAACGACGACGACGACGACAACGGAGATAGTCCGGTAGTAGTGATAATAGTGGCGGTGGCAGGGGTGTGCGCGCGCGAGTTCGTGTGACTTTGCGCGTAAGAAGAAGATATATACGAGTTAAGAGAGAGTATCTGTCGTGTCGTACTATGCTGTGTTACTGTGTTTCGTCTCGTGTGTTCTCTTAGCGTGTTCGTATAACCGCTAACACTATAGTCAATCCTTTATCAAGCTTTGTACATGCGATACGATAAAAACGTGCCATCTTTCTCAGTCAGTTATTTCTCTTATTGGCCGTTACTTAAAAAGTTCTTAAACGCGCGTTGCATCTCGCCGCGCGTGTGTGTATGCGAGATGGCCGGTAAGTAGACGGCACACGCAGAAGAGTCTCTCTCTCCTTCGGGTCTTCTCTTATACCTGCCTTGCGTTATACTCATATGTATTATATGTATCTCTCTTGAAAAAAAAAGAGAAAGAGAGAGAGAGAGAGAGAGACACACACAGGTTGTTCACTACCGCGAGTACTACTACTATTCTAATGTGTGTATATATGCACATAATATACGTATATACATATATACGTCTCTAGTACGCGTGGCTCTCTATCTATACGCGTGTTTTACGAAGCAAGGAAAGAGAAAAGGAATTTAAAAAAGCGATAGAGAAAAAGAGAAAGAAAGAGAGTGTGTGTGTGTGTGTGTGAGAGAGAAAGAGTAGAGTGAGAGTGAGTGAGAAAGAAATAAAGAAAGAAAGACAGGGAGAGGAGAACGATCGAGACAGCGTGATTCTTCTGCATCTCTTTGGCGTTTTTATTCGTGGTGTTTTGTACGTTCCCTACGTTCGTTCCTCTACGTTCGTTCCTTCCGGCTGTGGCCGTTCGGTTGTGCCGCACCGTACACCGCGGCAGGGTGAACCTTGACCTAGTTATCTCGCGGGTTCACGGGTATATCTGCAGCGCTGAGTGCAACGGGGCTTACCTTCCGCCATTCTTTCTCTTTTTTCTTAACCTTTCCTACGAATATTTCGCATATATCCCTCTGGAATAATATTATCTCTTATACGCGGCCACCGCACGCCGCGTTCGTGATTCTTCTTCGGGTTTTTTGGCGAGTCGCGTGAGACCAGATGCGCTTGTCGCCGGTGGCGACGGCAACGGCAACGGTGACGGCGACGGTGGCAACGGTGGCGACGGCGAAGCCGGTAGCGGCTTAGAAGCACGATGGATTACGCTGAAACTTCAAGTAGGGATCGCTATTTACCACCTTTACTTTGTGTTCTTCGGCTTATCGTTTAACTCACGCGTGACTTTACACTTTTCTCTCTTTCTCTCTCTTACTCTTTTACTCTTACTCCTTCCTATCTCGCTTTCTATCTCTCTTACGCTATTTTGCATCGTCTTCTTATATACCCTACTTATATACTACACTATCACTTTTCTATCTCTTCTCTTCTCTACTCTACTCTACTCTACTCCAATTGTGTTATCGTAACGTCTTCCGCGTTCTTTCATAGCGATCAAATAACTCAGCCATGTCGCGGAGCTTTCTGAAGCATCCTTTTTTTTCTTTTTTACCGGCACCCCGTTGTGTTCCATTCGCTTGCGTTCCCATTCTCGTTGCAATTGTTTTCAGTGTTTCTAACCTCCTCGTTAGCTTACAATTCTTCATGGAGTTTAACTCTCAATCATGCGACAACGTATGAAGATATATATGAAATTATTAGATTAAGATTTTTATTATTATTGTTATTATTATTATTTATTTATTTATGTGTATATATTATTGCTTCTTTAAGATAAGACATTCTATTTATATACGTAAATGTGCATTTATCACTTAATAATAGGATGATTAGTATACAAGAGGAATTATTGAGGAGAGATTATTGTCGTTCAGAGTATTAGACAAAATTCATATGTTACAGGCAATGGTGACATTCAGTGGTGTTTCTCACAAGTGAAAGGGACTTTGGAAGACGACGTTACCGAAGGCAAGTATTACTTTAATTACTTTCCATTAGAGGAACAATATACTATTGTTATACTTTTATATAAAAAAAAAGGTTCAAAATTATAAGTTATTTAATAGTTTTTTTCTTTTAAATATGTACTTATTTCTCATCTGTATTTCAGCTGATATAATATCATGTGTTGAGTTTAATCATGATGGTGACCTTCTCGCAACTGGGGACAAGGGTGGACGAGTTGTTATTTTTCAAAGGGATCCTATTGTAAGTATTAAGGAATATAATAGGATTATAAACCATTATTAACCAGACTTATCCCGTACTTGTTCTGTTGAATGAGAAAGTATATAGATTAATAAGAAATTATATGCGTTGTTTGTGATATAGTAATGTCATTCTCACTCGAGTGAGATTTTTGTATACATCTAGTATTTAGAATACTAATAACTCATATTTGCAAACTGTTACTACGTTTGCAGACAATACAGTCATTACCAAGAAATCAGTATAACTAGTAATGGTTTGAGGTAGAACTTATGTAACTTCGGACAATCTTATATAGGTGATCTTTTATTGAGCCATAATAGCTTTTCACTGACTCTATTAAAGGTAACACCGTGTTCGCTTAAAGGAGACTATTGGTAAAGTGGTTGTATTGAAGGTAGTTTATTCAGTTAGGTGATTAATCATTTAAGAAAGACATTGTGACTGTTAATTTTTAGTGCAAATTTATGTTACTGATGTGCCATTACTTTGCTTTGATTATAGAATATTTAAAAAGATATCTCTTTCCGCAGAGTAAAAATAGTATACCACGGAGAGGTGAATATAATGTATACAGCACTTTCCAAAGCCACGAGCCCGAATTTGATTACCTGAAATCATTAGAAATAGAAGAAAAAATAAATAAAATTAGGTGGTTAAAAAGAAAAAATCCCGCACATTTTTTACTTTCCACAAATGATAAGACAATAAAATTGTGGAAAGTTAGTGAAAGGGATAAAAGAGTGGAAGGATATAATACGAAAGAAGAAAATGGTGCGATTCGGGACCCTGCTTGTATAACTGCCTTGAGGGTAAGTTTAATCAATGTGATAGAAAGTGTTCTTCTATTAAAAATTATAAGCGAGTATTGCATATTTGTATTATTTAGGTGCCAACTATAAAACCAATGGAATTAATGGTAGAGGCATCTCCGAGGAGAATATTTGCCAATGCGCACACTTACCATATAAACAGTATAAGTGTCAACAGTGATCAAGAAACGTACCTCAGTGCGGATGATCTTAGAATTAATTTATGGCATCTTGAAATTACCGATCAAAGTTTTAGTATCCTTTTTTAATCAATTATTTTATGTTTTTTTTACACTTAATTCATACAAAATTACATATATAATATGTGTAGTTGAAAATCTAGTTTTCCTTAATGATGATATACAGATATTGTAGACATAAAGCCTACTAACATGGAAGAGTTGACAGAAGTCATAACAGCTGCAGAATTTCATCCTGTAGAGTGTAATGTCTTGGTCTATAGTAGTAGCAAAGGTACTATCAGACTTTGCGATATGAGATCTGCTGCTCTTTGTGATCATCATAGTAAACTTTTTGAAGAACCAGAAGATCCGACCAATAAGAGTTTTTTCTCAGAAATAATCTCAAGTATAAGTGATGTTAAGCTGAGTAACTCTGGAAGATACATGATTAGTAGGGACTACCTCAGCGTTAAAGTCTGGGATCTTCAAATGGAAACAAAACCCATTGAATGCTATCCTGTAAGTATAAAACATTTTGAAGGTATAGTTTCCTTTTTTGAATATATTCTTTTGTGAGAATGTAATCATTTATGCATTTTATAATGTTCATATGGGTAATTTTAGGTACATGAATATTTAAGATCAAAATTATGTTCTCTTTATGAAAATGATTGCATCTTCGACAAATTTGAGTGCTGTTGGAGTGGTAATGATTGTGCCATTATGACAGGCTCATATAATAATTTCTTTAGAGTATTTGATCGTAATACCAAACGTGATTTAACTTTGGAAGCAGCACGTGACATTGCCAAACCAAAAACTCTTCTAAAGCCTCGTAAGGTTGGTAAATGCTTTTAAAAGTTTGTATTGTCAAGTAAAAACTGTATGTAAACTAATTAGCTTTATCATGCAATAGGTTTGCACTGGTGGAAAACGTAAAAAGGATGAGATTAGTGTTGATTGTTTGGATTTCAACAAAAAAATATTACATACTGCATGGCATCCATCTGAAAATGTGGTAGCAGTTGCTGCCACCAATAATCTTTTCTTATTCCAAGATAAACTCTAGCACATCTGCATGCAAGTATGTTAGAAAATATTTAATGTAATTTTCAATAAATAAGTTTCTTTTTTATAACTATATAAAATACACTATAAGTATTAAAGAATTTATTGTATTACAGATAATACAACGGTATATATTGACGTGAACGAGGCACGTTAAACTAAATGGACACAGTGAAACAATAGGTGTCGGAATTACATTGACGAAAGTCGACTATTTGCATGTCAATAGTCGATTGACCGAAAAGTGGTGTACATAGCGCCGTCCACACAGCTCACGCGTTCATATAAGTTATATATACACCTACATGCAGAAATTTGCACCGATACCTTGCCATGCGCATACATGTACATAGATGCATGTAAGTTAAAACACATGCATAAGACTTCTCAAAACTCTTAAGTTGACTAGTTCAAATAAGTTTGCACACGGAGTCACTCTCAACTGATAAAATGAATCGTCAAGTCAATTATTTAATAATTGTGCCGACGATATTATTATCAAGTTTTCTTACACCAAACGTGCAGCTGAATTTCTAGCTTGTTCTACTACAGTAATTGCGCTACTACACTATGTAGAGACGGTCAGTGAAAATATCTAATTCGCCCATACATTATATAAAAAGTGTTTTAATATAACACACCTTATGATCAGTTATACAAATAATACTACAATTACAGACAGTGGATATATAACCGATGTTTCGGCATGAGCTGAATATATTGCACAGGCAATTATTTGCTTTATTTATCCACTAGATTATTAAATTGAGTTTTTAAAAAATAAAAAAAATAAATCGCTATCACGTGTGCCAATGAGATTTTATCGTTTACTTTCATATTCGTGAGTATTTTATGAAGATCATTATATACTTAATAATAGTAATAATTACAAAACATGATAGCACAGTATACAGGATCATGTTTCTTTACTACTTTTTTTTTCTTTATTTCCTGGAGAAATTTGCTACTAAATCTTCGTACTAAACTATTTCGAATATTTATTAGTAAACTCTGCTTAATGCGAATCTAGCTGAATGAATAACATCAGTTACCAAATACCAGAACAAAAAATCTTATACATATGTAGGCCTACACACACATTATCTTGTTTTTATTTTCATAATAAAGCTATTGTTACGTATATTTCCTATATTGCATTAGCTAATATGGATCAAGGAATATATGGCACAAATTTCTGCTTCAAAGGATTCGGGTAAACAAATAAAATCTTAAAACGGTAAAAATGTTATTATAAACGATGGGAAAAGTAAGAAACAGTGTTACGGTACAGCAATAACAAAAAGAACATTCATTTATATAAAATTATTTGTGTAAAAGATAAAAATAGGAACTGAAAAATAACTATATAAAAGAAAATGTGGATTTTCTCTAAATATTACTCTTATTAATTATTTATTGAAATTCGTATGAATATAAACAGTGAATACAGTACAGTTGTTGATGGTAAGCTGGGCTTGCAGACTTTACATAAAATATGTAATAATAACTTAATTAATAACTTAACACGAGAATAACGTAAAATTTCGAATAAGTGTATCAACGGGTTTAACTCAGTTTGAGTACGGCCAAAGAGCCAAGCTCTCCGTATCTATGTTGTATTTAGTATTTATACCATCTCTTAAATATTGTGTAGTAGAACTATGAAACCTAAAAGAAACAGAATATAATAAGTTTTATCTTAGGCAGATTCAATTGATGATTGCACTAATTTTGAAATACAAAGCAGGCTTCTTTTAAACAACACCACCATATATATTTTTTTACGTAATTAGTATATCTCACCATATACATACTTATGCAGTCTGGATTTTGCTATGCATATACATTGAGGTGCTCCAAATGTTCTTAAGGCTGTCAATTGTGTTTTTATTAATTCTAGCTTCATTTTTTATAGCGTTTTCAATTAATGATAACTTAAAAAACCAACATTTTATGTAATTTTTCTTAAATCAACAATAATCTCCTCATCTTTTAAATTTGTTTTTATTAAAATGTATATTATTTTACCGTCAATTTTCTTATCCGCTTTTTACTTAAATGATGGTTCATAAGTGCCTTGAAGCGCATTAAGAGTGCTCGATTATTAAAACAGAAATTCTAAAGTACTAAATTCTTACAGGTGTTTTTAATACGGATTATAATATAAACAATTTCATAAACACACATGCTACTTCAGGATGCAAAGATTTTGGTAATGAAACAGAGAGAATAAAAAGCACTCAAAAATGTATAAAGCACCAGACTAATGTATATTCACGATTAATGATTTTCCATATCAAGATAAAAAGGAAACGTTAGAAATTTCCCTTTCTTAGGAAATTATTTCCTTTGATAGAGAATAAATATTTTCCACTTTGACACTAATGATTCTTTAACGTTACACGTGAAAAAATAAAATGAAGTAATTTGAAAGAAAGAGAGAGAGAGAGAGAGAGAAAAGAGGTGAAGAAAGTTGTTAAATATTCTGTTAATTATAAACAGTGATAATAGATTGACATTATTTATTTAAAAATGACACACATTTAAATTTGTTTTAACTAGCATACTCTTTTAAAATTATGGGTCTGATAATTAGGATAAACATATTAGTTTTGAGTAATGAATTAACTAATGCATTATTATGCTTCCTGTAATGCAGTTTAAAATTATGATGCTCGAACTTTTCTCCATAGTCTTCATTAACTTATTAACAAATTTGGAAAAAAATAAGCTTTGTAGAAGAAAGGAAAAATATACTTCTATGATAAAAGATGATCTCTTTCTTCAACAAAAAAAAAGAAAAAAAAACATATTTAATATATCACGTTACATGTGATATACATACATCAGAATAATAAAATAGTTCCTTAAAAAAAAGTTAGATCAGTTTTAATAATATTGACTGCACTGCACGGATCATGATAATTGCAATGTCATCATATAAAGGATGCGTATATAGACTCTTTGAGACTTTGCTCTCAATGTATAGAAAATTTGTATTATTTATAAATTGTCAGTTTAAATAACGAAGAAGATCTATGAAATCTATGTTTGTGTAACATGTAATTGCAAAATTATCTTGCGTAACAGCAGACCTACTACTACATTTAGGGAAGTTGTTCCTTGATGTTAGATATCCATGAAAAGAGAGACAAACAAAAGATCAAAAAACGAAGATGTTAAAAAAGAAAGAAAGAAAGAAAAAAGAAAAAAAAAATAATAAGGAGATAAAGGTATCGAGATCGATTTCTTCATCGATCTCTAAACCTTTTCAACTTCTTTATAAAGTATATTATAAGTACATATATATATTAAGGAAATTCATATTTCGTCTTATGTTACAGTCATCAAGAAATCGTAACATTACTTTTTAGTACGTAAAATCATCGTCATTTTCCTTCGTCCCCAACCATATCCTAATACCTCAATCCCCTATAATAATGTTACTATTATTATCTTTTCGTTATTTGTTTCAGTCTTTGTTTTTTGTTAACTGCTATGCAGGATTAGTCATGGTAATAACGATGATCTGATATCTTGATTTATTAGATTATATAAATGATTGGTTGTTAGGATTAAAAGAATAAATCGAATAATGCGATGGTGAAAGAGGGAGAGAGAGAGAGAGAGAGAAATAAAAATGATGCGAATGCGGTTAATTCTCTAGGACGTACACGCTCGATGATAACGCTATAAGAATAAGTACTTGGGGGAAAAAAAAAAGAAAAAAAAAAAAAAAGAAATAGACAAAAAATGCTTCGAAAAAAAGAAGAAAAAAAAAAAGACCCTTTAATAAAAACAGCGGGTAACTTAAACTTCGTCTCCGTTGAGATCGTTCAACGAACGATGCTAAAAAACAACGAGGTATAGATTAAATTTTAATAAGGGAAACAAAGAAGAAGTTGATATTAAAAGCAATACGAGTACTACCTGTCTTCTCGAAAGCCCTTATTTCCCTCGTCTTCATTTTCAACCTCTCCCACCATTCCAACCCATTTCCATTCCCAATAAGAGAAGACAGTCGTAATGATTCCTATTAATTATGTTTGATTACTTGAAATGCCTTGCGACTTTCGCTACATCAGTACACATCCGGACTAAAAATTGAATTCAGACGAAGAAAGAAAAAGAAAAAAAAGAAAAAAAAAAAAGATAAAGATAAAAGGAACATTGAATATTGAGATTAGAACTTTGGCTCTCGCAGGACCTGTCTCGTGTGATAATAATAAGTGTCATTGTATCAATTAGCTAAAGCTCTATTTTTATTAACGAGACCACGTAAATACGTATAATCCAGAAATTAGGATTTTTATAGCTCGCAATTTAAGTGTAGTGTCTTTACTCTTGTATTTGCGCGCGCGCGAAGCGCAACACATGATATATAGAAAGAGAAACAAAACCAAAAAAAAAAAAGGAAAAAAAAATAAACATAAACACACATACACACGAAATATCCATTTTTGCGTGCATATTATAAATGATTACTACGCTGAAGCGATTCGATAAATTATCATCGCATTTTAAAAAAAATCTTTGCGATATCATGATAATATTTAAAAGGGAGAAAAGAAAATAATAAACGAACGAATGAACGAACAAATAGAATGCAGTGACCTGTGCGTACGGCGAACGATACCTAAAAAAAAAAGAAAGAAAGAAAAAAGACACATCCTTCGCATTTGCACGGAACGATTAAGCTAAGCTATATTACATATATATACATATAATGAGAAATGAACAATATAATATACCATTTTTGTACAAAGTTTCGCGCTGTTATGTTCTCTCTGTAATTTTTCTGCTCTCATTATTATTTCGCGTATAATTTTAATTCGTAATATTGCATATGAAATGATACCACGTATTGTAATCATTTTTTTTACTTATCTGTAATGGTTTTTTTCTTTTCTAAATGATTACTATTATTGGCAAGTTAAGTATATTTTAAATTAATATTTTTTTTTTCTTTTTTTTTTAAATTCATAATCGTATAAGTAAATCCATGAACGATGTGAAAGAGAAAGAGAGAGAGAGAGAGATAAATTAGAGCGAAAGAGAAGAGAAAAGAAAAGAAAAAAGAAGAGGAGGGGTATAACTATTTTAGTTTAACTTGTAGCAGCGAATTGTGCCTCGAGTGACTTATTAGCTGACTTCTGCGATCGAATATTTTTCTGAGCATCCCGATCTCTCTTGGAACATTCCTCGGTTTCTTAAAAAAAAAAAAACAAAAAAACGCGATATTATAAATACTGGACAGGGAGACTTTAACAAGACTGTGCTGAACCGGAGTTAGACCAGTTAAGTTGTCAGGTAGTAGAACGAGACGCTAACAAGAGAATCGTAATTATGCTCTCGTAAAGCATTATGAGTAAACGAACTATTACTCTCTTTGCGGATAATATAAATAAATAAATGAATGAATAAATAAATAAATAAAAAAAAGACACTTGTATTATAAACATAGCAAATAATGTTATTGATAGAATATACAAGGAAGCGTGTTACATCTTGACCGATAAATTGTTTTAATGAAAGGATACACATACATCGTGTAGGAATGATTATTGTATGCTGGACAATGACAAAATGAAAACGATAGATAGAGAGATTTCAATGAGTGGGTGGTATGAACTATTATCTGTACGATGATACGAACGTTTGCGTAATCGTATATCCTCTGTGAAAAATAAGGAAAGAGCATTTTCAAATTCGTGAACAATTTGTTTATTCAGTTTTTCTTTTCTTATGTCGGACAACAACCCTCGGTCTTTATAATTTTACATTCGATATTCGAATATTTTCTTTAGGATTACTTTCTTTCAAAAAATTAACGACAACTGATCGAATACGGATCCGATCTTTTTATCTTAATATATAAATATTCATTTAAATTATGATCTTTTTTTTAGCTTAGAATATTAATATGTAATATCGTGAGTCTAATCTATTAAAAAGATAATCTTGAAAAGTTATTTTTAATTAATAAATAAATAAATTCGTGTTCTATCTCGTACAATAATTTACGATTAATTAAAGCTTATTATTTTACGATATTTGTTTTTTTCTTTCTTTCTTAATTATTTAAATAACAAAACTAAATTCTGTGTGTTCTCCTCCCAATAAGCTCGACCCATAATTACCATCTGAAACTTTTAGAGAGAAAAAATAAACATATACGCTAATTATAAATATCGGAATAAATAGTAACACAATCGTTACCGTGCTTTTAGGATTTATGATCGATCTTCTAAAAAAGAATATGAAGTATCGTATAAAAAATTGATAGGAAAGAAAGAGAGAGAGAGAGAGAGTATCTGCGTTATCTTATAACGCAACATAACACCAAGAAATTTTCAAATCGTAAGAACGACGTATTTCCATAAAAAAATTTTTAATGAGAGATTGCGAGTGACGAAAGTGGACGTATGCTTCCAAATATAATTATTATTTTATAATAATCTCTGTATACCTCTCGCCCTTCTAATCCCAACCCTCCCCCCTCACCCTTTTGGCCGCGCTTTACATTCGTTCACAGCCATCGTACTATTATCGTCACCATAAGTTATATGTACACGCGAACAATAAAAGTACGTATTAACAACTACTCGATGAAACTGTGAATTTGAATAATAAAATTATCAATGATAAATAAGAAAAATTCGTTTGTATTAATAAGTTCCGTTTGAGTTTTTCAATGATTAGAAAGTTATTTAAAAAGAATAAATAAAAATAATTAAACGAGAACTATACATATATATAAAATAAACATATTTTCGAAATAATATTAACGAAATGTATTACGTACTTATTAAAATATTTAGCACAAAAGAGTTGGCACAGACCGCAACGGCAGACAAAAATGAATAAGAACTCTTAATTGCACATTTAAAATCCATAATTGCATACATCATCAATTAATTATTTAATTAATTATTATTAATTAAAAAAACGAAAACGTTTTTTCTTTTTTCTAACCAAAGCAATGAAGTTTCCTATTATTTTTTATTTTTAATCAATTGCTGACTTTTCGTTTGTCTGTTTTTCTCCGGTCTTTCTAGACCGAATAAGATGTCTGTTTTTAGTAATCTCTACATATTAAATGTTACATCTAGTAATCTCTAGATATTAAAACTGTCTTACCGATAGAGTATTTTTAATTTGTTTTACCGATAGAGCATTTTTTAACTGTTTTGCCAACAGAGTAATTTTAATCTTTTTTACCGACAGAGTTGCATAAATAAAAAATCTGCGAAAATAAAATTAGCAGTTCCTGAATTTTAATGATTAATTAGTTTGCAATTATTCTTATCTTTCTGCGGTTAAATTTGTTTACTGTCGGTACCCGTTTTTTTTCGTCCGAGATCTGTAGTTAACTTACCATCAGATCTCGGTCGGTAAGTCGTATTTTCGACTGTCGGTAAGATAAAGGTAACATTACACTTTTACCGTTATCGGCTTAGCTATGTTATTAGAATTTCAATATGTTTGAAACTTTCTTACTAGTAACTTTTAATAACAATTAGTGTACAGAAAGTGAATGTGTAATTAAATTTTATATACATTTAAAAACAAACAACAATTAGAAATCCTATATAGATATTTTGTATTAACTATTAATTAAAGGAGTTGACTTGTTTAGAACGATTGTCTTGGAACAGGTGCAGTGAAAAAGACTTACTAGATTAAACAAAAAACCGATATCCTATTGGTGCTAGAAAGACCGGAGAAAAATGGACAAACGAAAAGTTAGCAATTGATTGAAAACAAAAAATAATTGTAAACTTCATTTCTTTGCTTAGAAAAAAGAAAAAACGTTTTAGTTTTTTCAATTAATAATAACTAATTAAATAATTAATTAATAATTCTATCACTCGCGTCAATGAACAGCTCAGACATCTTTTGGCATTTATGATTATTACTTTCTCCTTGAATCGCATTATGTCGGTAAAACAGCAAATCACTGAACCAACAAGTAAACCAGTTAAAACGGATAGAAAGATTAAATATGATCATCGGAGAAACGTGAAGTCAGACGTATACCAATAGAATTAACGACATTTCGCGAATAAAAACATGATTGACAAAAAACGAGAACTGTAAAAAATTTATTAAAATAATAGTCATCGTATGAGTTTTTACTTTGATTGATAGTAATAATTAGGTTTTATAAAATATCATTTGAATAAGTAACGATATTTTGGTTGTAAAGTGAAAAAGATTATTGTAAATTCTATCGTCTTCTTGGTTATTCTTCCATTTGTGTTGTGATTGATTGACTGCGAATCTTTCAATTTTATCGAACGCAAGTGCTTCAGGAAACAAAAGTTGTCATCTTGGGAAAAGAACTATACGTATATATATATGTATATATATATATACACAAATATTTTTGTAAAATTTTAGTTACAATATATATATATATACTTACCAACTGTTAAACGTTATTTTGTATGTACTGTTACGTATCGTTTTTTGTTTTTTTAACGTAGTAAAAATCAATTGATCATATGTTTTTAGTTAATACTCGATTCTAAGCGCCACTGCTTTCTAATCGGCTATCTCATTGCTTTTCCTTTATCTTTTATTTTTATTCATATCGAAATTTGAAACGTTAAAATTGCCAACAAAATTATATTTAAGACGAACGATATGTGACTCTTGTTATCCAGTGAATACATGACTCGAGTGAGCTCGCTGTGTGTTGTGTTCTTAGCTAAAAAATAGTTAAATAGTTATTAATATTTATTTCTTCAATATCTTCCTTATATTTTGGGATGAACATATTTGAAGTGTCTTCTTGTTGATTTGCGCGTGTTAAAGAGTTAAATTAAATCTTGAAATTTTATATAAACTTTAAATTTTCATCATTTTTTATTCTAAAACTCAACATTGTTATTGTTTGGTATGTTATTGCAAGTACTTGTGCTCGTATAAGGTAATAGTGTTTGTTCATTTTCAATTGCATCATTTTATAAGAATTTATCAAAATATACGTTTATTTTTTTATCGTAATAAATTTCGTACGACGCATTAGTCAAATCATCAAATATGGAATTCCCATTATGGAATAAGTTTTTTATTTTTGCTGATATTATAATGAGAGTGCCACCTTTGTTCATTATTGATGGATTACTTCGTCTCAATATTGGAGGATCAGATAAAATTGTTATGTTAAACAAAACTGACAATTTCATACTTGGCAACGAGTCAAGTATTTTCTTTGAATCTACTCCTTTTTATGGGAATGTATCCTTCCTAACGTATTACTTTAACTTTGAAGTAAATAATGGTTATCAAATGTTTCTTATGGCAATGGTGATGAATATAATATTCGGTTTAGGTAAGAATAACAAATTTTATTGTAATTTAAATATAAGTAAATATTGCTACATTTGCTTATAGTTTGCTTTAATATATACACAGTGAATAATCAAAGTTCATACATTATTAATGTAAAAGTGTTTTTTCTTGTGTTAGAGTCAATTTGCATAGGTCACCAGTTTTGTCAAGAAAGACAACTTACAATTCAGATTATCGTATACTGATCAAAATTTAGTTTAATTTTTGAATATATTTAAACAAATTTCTTATCTAGTAGAGATTATTTGAATAATATTGCAATCAGAAAATATACAATGAGGTAGTGGTAGCATCAAATTTGTAATCATTTTTATATAATACAGTAATTTTTTTGCAGCAATTATAGCAGCTTTGTGCGCATTCATGTTATGGACAGAACATCTTATAATTGTCTACTTATACATGATGTCTTTAGGACTAATATTTATTTCTTATTGGTCCAATGATAATACTATCAAAGCTGTAATAGCATATATGAGCAAGCCTGAATATAAAGCCAGTTTATTGGATGATATATTACACTTGGATCTAACTTCTATTATTAAGGAAGGAATAGGATCTCTGATTATTCAGAATTATATATTACAGTGTTTACTGGCTACCATTTTTTGTTATATACGCTTTGCTCCAAGACATTATATTCTTCAGAAATTATTGGTATTAAGTTTTATGGCGCCATCACTTCTGGCTATTTATCCATTGCCTGTGAGTAAAAATAGACATTTATTAATTTTACGTCACTATCATTGATTTTTCAATTCAAGGAATTCAAACTAATATTCATGATTGTTTCAGATATCGACTCTTTCTAATACACCAGTTTTTGCTACACTGCTTCCATTAGCTGTTTGTAAATTTATTATCTGGTACAACAGCGTTTTAATTCTGAAGACAATTTATCTTGGATATGCTCACGCACGCAATTTTATAAGTAATTATGGTCTATCTGCTCTTTTAGAAACAGAATGGTTCCGTTTGAACGTTCCAAGCGTATTACGTACATTTTGGTTGTTAAGAATAGGGGAGCAAGTTATCAAAATTTTGGGAAATCATTATGGAGATGAAGATTTCTCATATTACGATATGGTTAGAACCTTATTGGTAAATGGCTGTGAAACTTTGACGGCATTGTTGGGAATGACTAGTATAATTTCACTTATTTGTCATTATATTGGTTGTTTCTTCCAATGGGTATTATTGACTGAAGATGGGGATGAGAAAAGCATTGGTGCGATATCTGCCATGTTATTCTATATATTAGCACTTCAAACCGGACTGACAAGCTTAGATAGAGAAAATCGATTAGTCAAATTGTGTAGAAATTTTTGCTTATTATTTACTGCAGTACTACATTTTGTACATAACATTGTAAATCCACTTTTAATGTCTCTCAGTGCCTCACACAATTCAGCACTGCATAGGCATCTACGTGCTCTTGGGGTTTGCGCCCTCCTTATTATCTTTCCAGTATCTTTATTGGCATTCCTCTGGTCACAATTTAGTGTGAGCACATGGTTACTAGGTGTGTCTGTCTTCAGTGTTGAAGTAATAGTCAAAGTAATGGTATCTTTGGCTATATACGTTTTATTTCTCATCGATACGTATCGCACCGCATTTTGGGAAGAGTTGGATGATTGCGTTTATATTATAAGATCATTTGGCAATATCATTGAATTTGCCTTTGGCGTAATATTACTCTTCAATGGTTTCTGGATACTAATCTTCGAAGCTGGCGGTGCTATTCGTGCTATTATGATGTGCATCCACGCATACTTCAATATTTGGTGCGAAGTTAAAGCTGGATGGCTAGTTTTTATGAAGAGACGAACCGCAGTTAACAAAATTAATTCATTAGCCGAGGCGAAATTTGAACAACTAAGATTGCTCAACGACGTATGTGCCATATGCTATCAAGAAATGCAGGCAGCAAAAATTACACGCTGCAATCATTACTTCCATGGTGTATGCTTACGAAAATGGCTCTACGTACAAGATCGATGTCCACTTTGTCATGATGTTGTTTATCAACCTCAAAATAAGGATGATAGTTCTTCGGATTCGCTATTAATAGAATAGAGAAAAAAACATTTAAATAAAAAACGAGAAAAACGAAGTCTTCCAACAAGGAGATCAGAATTATTTGGAATTATTTTAAACAAAAAACTCGTCATTGGAAGATATAATCGACGAAATTCTTCAATGAGGGTAATTACTATGGTACATAGCCTTATTGTGATATTCTTTACACTAATTAATATTGCAAACTTAAAGAAGACTTAAATAATGCGACATTGATCTTCACAATTTCCTTTGATAAATTTGATTTTTTTCTTCTTCCAATAACCTAATGTATTTTACAACAAAATTACGAATAGGACTCAATTTAATTTATTCTTCCTCAAATTTATTATATGCTATTGTATGTGTTCATTATAAAGAACACATATTATTAAAGAAATTTAACAGATCGCATCAGTAATTTGCTAAGTAATATTAATAGTTAATTATCTACAATTATACTACCTAGTAATTAATATAACTTTCTTTTTTTCTTTACATTATCTTTTATAATTTTTGTACATATGATTATAATCAGATTATTGATTTCAATTCGTATGTATTGTCAAAATACATTTCCAAAATTTAAAAAGAGTGAATTCCTATATATATATATATATATATATATATGTATATACAGTGGAACCTTGAATTTCGTCATAAGAAATACATAATGAAAAATCGGATAATTCGTATATTCATANCGTTTAACAGTTGGTAAGTATATATATATATATTGTAACTAAAATTTTACAAAAATATTTGTGTATATATATATATACATATATATATACGTATATATATATGTATATACAGTGGAACCTTGAATTTCGTCATAAGAAATACATAATGAAAAATCGGATAATTCGTATATTCATATATAAATGATATAAAATATAAAATACTAAGTAAAAATTAAACAAGTTAATCTGCACTTTATTTACTATGCTTGGCAGACGACAAGCTATTCGTACTGTTCGTATTGTAAGACATCGCTCATTTATTAAATCAAAATTTTGTGCTCGTCTTATGGGACATTTGTACAGCAAGTTACCCTCAATTCAAAGTTTTACTGTATCTGTATATAATTAATATATGCATATAATAAATATATTTATATACATAAATGTATATGAATTGTGGCATATCTTATTGCCATTGAGAATGATGTCTGCACAAAGATTCGAAGCCTATTCTTAAGCTTCTGTACATACGCTTTATGTATATACATTGAGATCAGAAAGTCCAATAGATAAGTAATATTGTTTTATCGCGAATATTTGATATATCTTGTATGTTACTCGATTATCTCATGTATACTTTTCCAAGTGATTTTTTTTTTTCTACTAATAGGCGAGAATCACATAGCTTCATTTATCATGGGAACTTCAAATTTTATGGAATGTTTTGTGAAATCAATTTATATCAAAATGATATTAATTTTGTTTTTTTTTTTTTTGCTTCTTTTCGTAATAAAATCATGTAGATATAGATGTAGATTATTCAGAAACAAAATATAACATGAGTGAAAAAAGATGAATAATGTATTTTAAAAGAGGAATATGAAAGTGTATAATAATTGTAAAGTTATAGGCAAAAAATCGTGTAAGTGTGTACATATATACACACTTAAATATAAATATTATTTTCTTTAAACTCATTAATCTCTTGATCAAATCAAGTAATTTATATATGTATGAAAGAGACAATTTATTGAATTTGATCAAATCCATTGGGTCGATACAATCAAAAATTTAAATTTCATTAACATATTCGAGATCTGTAAAGTAGTCCCACGTCATTTAATATTCTTTACCTAAAGAAAGGTGATATAGTACTACATTGTTTAAAAATATTTAGCTAAATGTTGATTGCGTTATCCTACGCCATTAGATAATAAATTATGACCATTAATTTCTTTTGTTAAATTATTGTTTGATTGTTAAACGTTTATGTGTATTCTATTATTTTGTTGAACTTATTAAATTGTGATATTATTTCTTAACACGAAGTAATTTATATTAGATTTATAATGTAATATCTCCGAAGTTAAATGTTACGTACGGACAACGCCGATTGCGAATGTGTTAATTAATATTATAACAATAACAATAAAAAAAAACAAAAGAAAATGAAAGAATATTTATCTATGGAATAAAATAAAGTAATGTAAAAGAAACAAGAAAGGCAAGATGTACTTTAAAAATATTTAGAGTATATAAATAGAAGATAGTATAGGGAGAGTGTAAATGGATAATATTCATATCAATTGTTTTCGTCTTATGAAAATTCAAATAACTCGCGATGATCCGTTTAAAATAATAAAAGAAAATATCAAAATATGTATGTATCGATACCATTTATTGTTAGAAAGAAAAAAAAAGAAAAAAAAGAAAAGGAAGAAAAAAAGAAACAAAATTTAAATAACATAACGCATTCTGTTACAATGTGGATAAAGATCATTAAAAACATTATATTTTTAAATATCGAATATTTATTTATTTCCTTATCTCAAAAAAATATTATAATAAAAAATAGGGTGCAAGATCCTTGCGTGCATGCATGCATGCATGTGCATACTGTATATATGACATTATTTACAATACGTATTTACAAGAACGCGCACAGCATCCTTTTCTCCCTCTCCTTCCTGGCTGTATTATTACGTACTACACGTTCGAACTTGAAATCTCAAATATCAGTCGTGTGCGTGCTTCGAACGAGTGAGGGTTGTGGTGTCGTGCCTTCGAGGACTTCGAAAAAATTCTTTTTAAAACGAACGAAGATAAACAGGTAGCGTCGAATTAAATATCAATAATATATTACAAAGAAACAAAGTTTAATCAGCGTAACAAATGTATATATTAGTATATATATATATCAAAATATTTTTTTTGTTTACATATATTACAAAAATAAAATCATCGTTAGTAAATCTAAATAATAATTAATTAATTTTTCTTTCTTTTAAACACGATATAGTTGAAAAGGTTTCTAAATGATTTGAAAATATACAAATAAGTAATTAATATTTATAGAATTTGTTAGATTTTAATATATTTTGTTTTTTCAGATTGATTGTAACATTGCCAATTTAGAAACTATTGGCTAATTTTCTATTTGCGATATCATTTATGGAAATATTTATTGCGATGTTTCATTATGTTCTACCGTAAAGCATATAAAAATAATTATACATATGTATTATA